ATATGTCTGGTGCACAAGGAAGTAGTAAAATGGATAAAAACTACAATAAAAACAAATATATACAATTACTCTGTGTCTAATGTCTTAAAAAATGTTACTCAAGCTACTCCATGTATAAGTCATCAAGTTGAGACAGGAAATTTCCAGAAGAGACAGTTAATGGAAAAGAACTTTCCGTATTTTGACGGAAATACCCAGGAATGGCCGCTATTTCACAAGCAACTTACTAATTTACGAAAATACTGCGGTTATTCAAACATTTTGAAACTACAGCGACATTTCAAAGGTGAAGCAAAGTCTTTGGTTGCTGGAATGTTACTGACTGCTGATTATGTAGACTTAGTAATTCATACTCTACAAAAAAGATTTGGCTGACCAGAATTTATTATTGAAACTATCATCACGAAAATGAAATGTTAATACTGGAAAGTTAATACTGTTAAGTTAATACTGGAAAGTTAATACTGTTAAGTTAATACTGGAAAGTTAATACTATTCTCAGCAGAAATAACATGGTATCCATTATGAAAACCCTAGAATCCAAGGGACATCCGCAGACTCCTCAATTAATCAAAGAACTACTCACTAAGCTTCCTGAATTACTGAAATTGAGTTGGGTCTATCTGTATAATGGGCATAAGATGGTATAACCCAATAATATTCTTAATATTGAAAAAGGGAACCCAATTCATAGTTATATGGTATTTTCAACAATACCCAGAACTCCATAGGAAGTCCAACTGACCTACTTCTGAGTTTGTAAGCTGCTGACTTTTTACCTCAAGTCAAAATGCGAATAACTCCCAAATATCGAGAGCATTTCTCGAAACCGTATTTCACTCTACACGATACTTTTCCAAACTCTGTAGGAAATTCCACTGACCTACTTCTGATTTCGTACGTGATCCTCTTTACCTCAATTCACCTAACCACGAATAATTAGCAATACTGAAACCCTTCGCAACATGTTCAGCCCTACCCGGGGGATCGTAGCGACTCTGTCAAAAGGCTGCGAACTACTCGCAGGTCCGCGCAAGACTGACTTGATTCTTTTTCGTTTTTCAAATTTCATTCAGTTAGGTGATGGGGTTCAAATTCCCCCAGGATGGTCCCACCCGATCAAAATGACTGAAATCATTTCCAAGACTGGTACTCTTAACGTTATCTACATGTTCGGCGAATAAGTCCACAGGAACTACCGAATGGTCCCCGATATCTCTGATATTGTAAGCCTGTTATTGATATCTATATGTCACTACAGGGTTATTTTGAAATTTCCTTTGTCTCCAATAGTAGACTATCCCAGACGGGTTCATTTATTTTCTCATCCGGTACTTGAAAGATGTTTTGGTATCTAACAGTTGCCAAAAAATAATATATCTAACGTATATATTATTACAGTTGGAGGTCTGGGGGTTGTTATTAGGGATGCATTTATTGATTTTTTTTCTTTAGAATTTTTGAGATTTTTGAAATCAGTTCATTTATAATCCTGTTTTATTCATTATTGCTATTTTCAGATCCCTGAGCAAATGTCGCAGTTCAGTCTGAAGGGATATTATAAGTTCTACTTTTGTGACATTGATTAACGTCATTAATCAACAAAATAATCACTAACTCAACTCTTCGGAGTAATATTATAACTTATTTTGATTTGAAATATTCACCAAACAGATGATTGATTTTCCATGAAAATTGTTGCTGGTCCTAGGACGACGTAAATCCCGAGAAATTCAAATAATTAGTAACAACAGTACATCACAATTCATTGCTTAGTAAATGTACTTACGTATGCTTGATAGTCCCGAATCCAAGCCTAAAAATATGATACTAGTATATGTAAGCATACAGCCAATTATTATCAAATTATTGAGTTGGGGACTAGACATTTTTATATAGCGCTGATTCCTGTGTTTTATATTGAAACCCAGAAAGACAATTGCCATTATTATTCCACAAACTGCCAGTGTTGCTAATATTGCATAAACGGTTTTGTTCACTCTTGTATGTTCAATTATGACCAGCGTCCTGTCTTTAGGAGGATACCTGAAATTGTGTTTTGATGAAAATACTCAATATTTCATTTTATTGTGTAGCATGTGAGAAGCGAAATCGTTTTTCACTTTAGCTTCCTGCTTTGAACTTACTTTCCTATCCATTTTAGGGGTGCCCCGAGGGTAAGGTCCAAATGTTGTGTTGCAGCACTGTACTCCCCTACTTTAATCTCTTTTCCGTCTTGAAACTGCTTTAAAAGTATGCTAGCTTTTCTTTCATTGTCGTAAAATCTCACTGGACCTGTTACACCTAGTCAAAAAAATTAGTTACTAGAAGGTTTGTCATTGGTTCGTTCTATCACCTTCAAAACTAGTATTGTGTAACGCATCTAAAAAAAGTCTCTCCCACATCGGATCACGATATCGAAAATCATTCACCGTTTCGTTTCTCCGAAAATATTTTACTTTGTGCGCTACGTTTTGTATAGCCAAAGCAACTGCCCAAATTCCGTCATAAGTGTACCCATGAAATCTAGAATACTCATGACCTCTCCTGGAGTCGTATTCCATTCTATACTCGTCAGCTGTCTAAAAACAATCAGGTATTTCAAAATTAGAGTAAAAATTACTTTTCCCAACACCAAAATATTGCAGTTATGATGTAGGAAGCATTTGCTTTTGTGTTAGATTTTTAACTACTCCTCACGCCTTAGCAGTAGTTTTTTGACTGAAAAACATATGACTCGAATGAAATGAAAAAAGAAACACTTTTGTCTAAATATCACGGTAGATTTTATTTATACGACCGGTTTCGGGTTTGACCCCGTAATCAAGTATCGAGAGTCTTTTATACTTGATTACCATAAAGTAAACAAGTCATCTGTAAAAAAATCTGTTTAAAATCTGTTTTTCCGTTAACCTGCTGTCGCACCCTTATGCACGACAACCCTCAAAAGTCTAAACTTGTGCGAGCTAAGGATTAACGTGTGATTTCTAACACATATTAGAAAAATATATGGGAAACAATTTTACTGTGACCAAGAGTTAGTTGATAATAACATATTATTATTATTTTTCAATATTATTTCCAGCGTATGACAATAAGGAGAGTACTAGGGGATTTTCAGAAGGTTTGAGAATGGGGAAGCTGTCAATTTGTTGTATATAGGGGGCGCTAAGTGTTTGTCATCAAAAGATACATTGGTTATATGGGAACATTTGTGATTTTTCGTTTTTATTCAGAGAAATGGGTCGTTGTGCTTCTTTCGGGAGTTTATAAGTTTCCTGAAGATACTGTTATGAGAAGAAAATGGGAAAAATCTTTGAGGATAGTGAAGTTCAAATGTACTGATCATTCTAGGTTATGTGGTGAACATTACAAAGATTCTGATTTTGAGACTACTTCAAAGACAACTGGTACGTAGGATTCATTCTACCTACTTATATGTCTTATATACTTATATTTCTTGGGAGCAAATTGGATGCAAAAAACTGTCTTTATAATGAAAGACTTGTTCAAATATGCAAAATTATGAACCTTTCCACTAGATCAGCTTTCTTCCCTCCCAGGGTTGCACCTCTCCTCTGCAACTCCTTCTTCAACTGGGCGATACGTCATGTAGAATACGTCTTGAATTGCAAGCAATTTAAATAAGAAACTTTCAAATAAATCAATAAATAACGGTGGAAACTTTGACAGCTAATGACCAATGTGACAAACACTCAGCGCACTCTGCCGAATGAGTTTCCCGTAATCATCCCTAATCATCCCTATCTGCTCTGCTAGTTTGATTGAAATGAAAATCCTCAAAAAAATTGATCCTTACTATTTTTTTACTATAGTTGATTTTCACTTATGATAATGCTGTGACAAAACGTAGACCTAATAGAAATTTCAGATTCATTTTGTATACAAATATTTTTGAAATTGAAGTGGATAGGTACCATTCATTTGAATATTTTCCTTACATAACAAATTGGGTTAAAAAAACGATTTATAGATAATTTTTGGTTTCAACAAATTCTGTCGCATCTCGAAGAAAACTTTCAGTGTGATGTTTCAGAAGATCTAGCAAGAATCTTCAATACTAACCAAACCATCTTCAAGTTATATTATTAAAATGAAAAAAATTACTCCAAGCTGAAAACATGTAGTGGTGTCGACTTAGGAAAATCAAAATCTATCAATTCAACATTTCTATAGTTTCAGTGTCACTATGTTTCGGGTTTGAAGGCCGTGGATTTTTGGAATTTCTTCCTGACGTTTCGCTGGCATGAGTGACTAGCTTCCTTAGAGATTTATACATTCCGAGTTGATATCTCCGATGACTGGATAAACCGGCTACGTAACGAGTATTTATGTTGACTTCTCAGGTAGTTTGATCTGCTAATACCTGTAACTGGCTTAGGTGAATTCTGTAAACCGTGTTTATATTGATTAAGGTAGTTTGGTGTGATAATACCTGTACCTGAATTTGGTGAATTGTTAATAACATTCGTTGACCTTTTTCTACTTGTCGTCATGCTGTTTGCTATTTTTGAACTTTTCAGAATGGGATTTTCTATTTGATTGAGGTTCACAGCTTCTTCTTTTCTGTTGAAATTGATCCATGTGTTTATAGATCTCTATTGCCTTCCATACCAGTCGGCTGTAGTATCCCTGGTGGGGGGCAATAAGTTCCGTATTTTCAAAGAGAATCCTGTTGTTTCCTTCACTTAGTGCGTGTTCTGCCACAGCTATCCTGTCCATTTGGCCTAGTCTGCAGTTTCATTCATGCTCCTGCAGCCTTGTTTCCATGGATCTTTTGGTGGTTCTGATGTTATACCTCCTCACAAACCCACCAAGAATATACAACAAAGCCTCAAGTCAGCTACAGACAAAAATAATCCACTATCAGCAGCAGGGGTTTTTCGCTTTACATCCACTTGTGTGGATGTATAAACCTCTGGGGAAGCTAGCCACTCGCGCCAGTGGAACGCCAGGAAGAAATTAAAAAATTTCACGGCCTTCAATCCCGGAAAATAATGACGCGTGAAAATCTTAACCGTTTTCTATAGTTTGTGGTTGGAAATGTTCATTACTGATACCGACTTCAATTGTCTGATTTGAAATCTGGGAAAATAAATAAAAAGGAAATAAATGTAGTGTTGTATTAATTGCACAGACCGAAATCTTCGTATGATTTAGTTAAAATAGAAAAATATTAGCAAAACTGAATAGGCAATAAGTATGTGATGAACCGATATCTGTTCATCTTAATTAACGAATAATGCACCGAAATTAGGTCAAGCTGAACTAACGTGAAAAGAGTCGAATGTTGGGTCAGATTTGAGTGTCGTAATTATTAGGGCTTATCCAACCGGCAAGAAATCAAAGATTGTCGGCGAGTAATAATAATCATTAAGTTGTCATAATAGACATCAAAACGATAAATAATGGGGTCGGAAACCCGCGTTAAACAAAGGAAGTCGCGCAGCTGTGAGTTGCAGGTGTTCAAATTATTGCATCATTATTCGTGCTATAAATACGAGAATGAAATTTTCATTGAGTCAGTCTAGTTTGGCTAGTCGAGATGAGACCCTCCCCGTTAGTGAAAGTTTACGCGAAATCAGTTAAAAATGTTAGATAGTTCAGTTTGATCAGATCAGTGTAATCCTTCGAGCAGAACGTATCTCCAGAGTTACAGTGAAATTCGGGAAATTAATGAAAATGCAGTAATCAGTGAATAATTCCGGAAAAATAATGCATTGTAAATAACCGTAATGTTTGAGATAATAATATTTCGAAACTAAGAATCTAAAAATAATAACCGATCAAAGTGATTCGATAAATTGGAATCAAGAAATATTGCCGAACTATAAGTACCAACTTGTGGTATTGACTTGGATGTTAGCAATACGTGAGTAAGAGGAAAATCGTAAGAAAATATATTTTTAACTTTTCCATCCGAGACTATTATGAACCTTTGACGAGTGAGTAAAGAACGCCCATCGAGATACTAAATTGTTTAATCTGATAATCCTCCCTGATCACGGAAGCTTATTGAGTTGCTGATATGATGTGTTGTAAATTATCCTGTATTATGAATTATTGGGTTTTGTTGATATAACTGTTGTGAATTGAATTTGACCATGATTCACTGTATTATGTATATGTATCTATGAAATGGAATGAACCTGAATATGTACCGATTTATTATTGTATTGATGATTCGATATGGATTTTGGACTTGACATTTTACGTAATGATCACTGATATTATTGCTGTTGCGTTTTATGAAACTTTGTGCCTTGTTAATAATGTGTTTCAATGTTTCTCTTGCAGTCATTGTTGTATATTTATGTACGCTTACAAGGTTGTACTAAGTACTGGTATCATATTTGAAATGTTATAAATGACGAATGAACCTTTTGAAATTTTCTCATGTTTTGTCTAGCGNGAACGGCGTGTTTTTCTTGAATTTTGGAACACACCACGATGAATCTTCAAAGTCTTCCAAATTCATTACGGTTGTGTACCTATATATTGAATAGACGCAGTTTGTCCAACAAATCACTGAATATCGACAAATTCTAGCCTCATAATGTGCAACTATAGACTGAAAAAAATGGAAACTGCTGAGATTTGAAACCCGTTCTGGAAAGGTTGCTATGACTGTTTTGAATGTTGTTGTTGAGATGACTCTGACTGATACTGCACACGTTGATGATGTATCATTCTAAAATAAATTCGATTTTCAGTACAAATATACACTAAAAAAATACTTTTGTCAACAAAGAGGGTAATGTCTTTCATGAAGTGATTGCTACACTTATAATGAAAATAAAAAAAAATCAAGTTTCATTCAAAATAACGAATTTAAAACACATATTCTGCACGTACTTGTTAAAATATGCCTAATACTGGTGATTTTTGTATTATGCTTTTGGCTGCACTGCCTTGACATATAATGAAGTTTATTTTAAGTTCTGTGTTCCTTGATGTAGGTTATAGAGGAATGTAGTGTCGTCAAGTTGGAAATACAAAATAAAATAGAAAATGTTTACGGTGTTTTGATAAAGTAAAACAACAAAGTAAAAGGAGCCTATATTAACATGGTAGCATAGGTCCGTGGTTAAAAAAGGTGAAGATGGCCGAGAAAAGAGACGATTTAACTTTGCAAATTTTTGATGGCGTGGAGTACGATAAGTGGAAGTTTAGACTTGACCTTTTTTTAAAAATGAAAAACTGCAATGAGGTGATAACAAATGAGACACGACCAACAGAAATAGAACAAGCTGAATGGGACAAAAAAGAAATTCGGGCACAAAATTACATTGTAAATAGTGTGAGTAATGCACAGTTGGAGTTGATTATATCTGAGACATCGGCCAGAAAAATGATAAAGAAACTTGATAACATATATTTAGTAAAAAGTAGTGCCGTAAAGCTGTTGTGCAAGAGAAAATTATTAGATTTAAAAATGAAAGACGACGAAAACCCACTGAAAATTTTTTGGACTATTTGAGAGACAAATAAACGAATTAAAGAATGCTGGAGAAACAATTTCAACTGAGGACAAATTGAACTATTTTCTTTTAACTCTACCAGGAAATTTAGCTCATATTGTCGATATAGGTTCAATTATAACATCAAGAGATTTACTTTATTCACTTCAAGAAATATCACAAACATTGAACAAAAATAATTTACCATTATACGTCAGTATTGGGAATATCCCCCAATACCTAGACCTTATAAATTGCAACCATATCAAACAGACAATAAATTAGTATTTGTTTTGAATATTCCCCTAGTAGAGCCTGAAACGTACACACTTTTTCATTTATATCCAATACCAATCTTGAATGCTCGAACAGGACTTCACCATATATTATTAACATTTCAAAAATTTATTGCGCGAGACGACGATTCAATGTTGTACACTTCTTTTCAAAATTTATATAATTGTAAAGTGATCAAAATCGAGTTGAAAATTTGTGCAGAAGTGCTTCCATACCCGATAGACAGCAACGCTATTTGTGAAGCCCAGCTCCTCAAACAAACTTTGCAATTGCCTGAAAATTGTAAATCAACAGTGATCTACGCAAAGGACTACAACGTTCAAGTGATTTCTCAAAATCTGTGGCTGATATCAATATCCGATCCTCTACCGGTCACCATGAATTGTATTGGCAGAGAAGTAATTACAAAAATCATCGAAACCAATACTCTCCTGAAACTTCAGCCTGAATGCAACGCTTCATTGGAAACACGAGAGTTCATTCCAAATATTTCGTTGAAAAATACCAGAACGTAACTTACAACAAACATGCAGTCCAGATACCATATCGATGCTGTGACCACCTCCCGGACAAATCAAAACTCCCGGAGCTGAAACCCCTGAAATTAAATAAAATAAATGTCGACGATCTCAACATTGCTGAACACAAGTTGAACCAATACTCAGATGAATTGGACAAACTCATCAACGAACCGTTCGTGAACAAACATATTTCTTGGTTCACGTATTTTACAATTGCTCTCATCATCGCACTAGTGATTTTGTATATTTTCTGCAAGTGCCGTCGCAAGAAGTCAATTGCGATCGGAATCACCTCTTCAAGCAACGACAACCCACCGAGACCACCAAGAACCCTGGCAAGATTCGTTCCTAGAAGAAGACCCAGCGTCCGTCTGAATGTAAAAACTTTTTCTTTCGTCCGTCCGCTTTAGGGCATTCGTGAGTGAAACTGAATGATAACGTTCGGAAGATTTGATTTCAGGCAAATTCTGGTTTTCGAATATAAAATTACGTCTTTTGACGGATATAAACCTGCCGTGCCTTGTTGTGATATTGTGATTGGGTAATTCTGCTGTGGAGCGATCTTGCAATGTCTTTATTATCGATTGGGATGAATTTTAACGAATGAATTATTTCTTCCGGACCGTTTAAAAACATCTCCGGCAATGTTAGGGCAGTCGAGCATTGGGAGGTAAGGGTATAGTTTTGTTACTCATTATTTTATTTTAGCGCGGGTGTACCGAGAAATCAATTATTCACGAGAATACCTTTTTTTTAGATGTTTTTCTCTGATATGGTAAATCGAAATTTCGCCCGGACGGTGCTATCTTTGAGAACACGTCGAAGTGGATGGGGTCAGACCTTTTTGAACTTTATTGCCTTGTACGTAGCGACTAAACCACAAATTTTCCGAAGTCATATGGATGGTGGTGTTCCTATTTCGACCGTGTGGACGTGGAATTAAGAGCTTTTCACGAATTTGCGTATTAGCGGGCCATAGGAATACACACATCACTAGCAGCTAGATAAGTACCGATTAGAAGTTTTATCAATGGTGTTGTTTTGCGGGATTCTGACATTATTGTTTACGAAAGCAATGAACCTCGCTGAAAAGGTGTTTCCGAATAGTTTTGTCTTCGCCTTTGTATAAGCGTTTAGTTTGTAGTATAAGTGAAGAATAAATCTGTTGAACAGGCGTATTTTGGAGAAGCAACATTCAACGTTTTCATTCTTGTTCCTTTGTCGTATTCCACCTTATTGTTTTCGCGTATCTGGATTGTTTCATTTCAGGTTTAGGCTAGTCGGTGTACAAGAAACTACTTGGCGCCCTTGTTATCAATTGTTTTTTGTACATATTTATACTTATCTGTCTGATTTGACCCACGGCCCTTACGAGCAAGCACATTACTTGCCGTACACAAAAAAGGACAGAAGTGTTATTCCTAATGTTTTAAAAATAAATGTC